CTGCTCTGCAAAGCAGGGCCACCCTCTCCCCTGAGTTAGCACCTGTTCTTAGCCAAAGCTCCCTGCCTGGCTCAAGTGCTCCACTGTCACTCATCACTTTCTTTTACTTCTTTTCTCCTATGAAACTTCAGTTCTTGAACTAACATCAAAAACTTGAGCCAAAAACCAGTGTGAAATGCACGTGCACAGAAAATAAATGAACTCCCGTAGCAAGGATGGAAATTCAGCTAGACTTCTTTTCTTTTTGACTAGAGAGTAATTTATTTGCCGCAAACTACAGTTTCATTTGTCCCCAGACCATTGTCAGATTCTGGTCAAATTGTCCAGAGAGTTTAAATCAACAAAAATATATTGGTAGATTCACAAAATTAGAAAGGAGGTTTTCATTTACCCGTTAGCCCACTGGGCAGCACTCTCATGCAAGGGGTTGGAGGGTCAGGTTCAATTCCATTCTCAGTCTCTGGGGGCTTCAACCCACGTCCCCAGAGAATGGCCTGTCTACTGAGGAATAGGGCATTAGGTGCACACAGCCTTCGCTGTTGAAGTTGTTCTACTTTGTGTAAAATACATAAGAGAAAGAACAGGAAGCCAGGTGTCCTTGCTCCCAGGTGAGTGCCCAAATTACTAGGGTATAAATAGTGTTCTGCATTCTCAATGTTTATTAAAAAAAAAAAAGAAAAATCCATGAATTTTTGGGGGTTTATCTTTGAAACATATAAACTGGGATGAAATCAGCATAAAAGGAAGAAAAGGAAAAAATCCGTTTAAATCGGGGGAAAATCAGCAGTGAGGGAGGGAGGGAGGGAGTAAGGCTGGGACTAGGAGAGGTGGTGGGGGGACAGACATGACGTAGCCTGTCGGCCACTCCTGGGGCTGCAGCAGGGAGCAAAGTGGGGGGAGCTGTCAGTGGGCATGGGGTGCAGGGCAAGGGGGTGCAGCTCTTGTTGCTACACATCCCCTGGGAGGGTTGTGAACTGGGGGAGCCTGTGCCAGGCTCTTCCTGGAGGGCACGTGCAGGAAGCACATGGTGCTACACCCTGCCTTTCTTTCCTGGCTGCATTCATGCCCCTCCCCCCTGCTGCAGCAGCCTGCTGCCAGGCTGCCCTAGTCTTTGAGGTGAGGGGGGAATGGCGCAGGGCTGGATGTGGCAGGGGGGGACCCAACCCCAGCACTGGCACCTCCCACCCCACCCAGGGTCACAGCTGGGAGCCCCGAACCCCCAGGCAGAGGCTCCAGCCTCGCAGGCCTGTGCAGAGCAGCTGGGTGCAGCCCCCAGTGCAGGGAGTGGAGCCAGATGCTCCAACCTGCCCCCCCACAGCAGGGCTTGCAGCTCCCAGCACCTGGAGCAGAGCCAAAGCCACAGCCGCTGGGATGAAGCTTGGACCCTCCTGCCCTGGGAGCAATTCCCATGGCCCATCCCACCCCACCCAGGGTCAGAGCCAGGAGCTCTGTGCCCTCAGGTAGCAGCTCCAGTCACCCTCCTCGAGCCTCCATGTGGCCACCACCACCCCACCCCGCCCCTTGCTCCACATGTGGCCACCGCCACTGCATCCCACCCCCACATCTGGCCAGAAACCTGTGTATCAGGTAACCACCAGAGTGGCACTTTTAGCTTACCAGCACCACCCATTTTTCAGTTCAAATCCCTGTTACCTGGCATGAGTGGGGAATGGGCCTTTCCCCACTCGTGCCATTTAACATGGATTTGAACTGAAAAATGAGTGTAAATTGGTGTTACGGTGCAGGGTCGGTCTGCTTGGAGCCAAGCTGTGATTCTGTTGTAACGGTTGTGTTCTGTCCTTTAAAATTATCCTGCCACGCCTTTGCTGGTTGGAGAGGTACCAAACACTTTAGGAGACAAAAACTCAGTTAAAGGTTCAGAAGATCTGCTTATCTTCACAGGGCTCCAACATCCCCATACCCTGCCCTAACCACACCAGATGTTCCAGGCTTGTTGTTGTTTGCCTACTAGACGGAGAGTCTGGTCTTAGTCCCGTGAACCCCCCAGCTGGGGTCTCCTGCTAAGTTGGCTGCTTGCCCCATTCTTCCCTTCATGGGTCCCAAGACCTCTCCGTTCTAATCCCGCCCTTACCTTCAGGGTTGGGATGGACTCACCGCTCCTGGAGGTGTAATCTCATCTGCATCTCATCTTCCTTCTAGGGTCCCAAAGCAGTTCTCTTCACCCCTCGGGACTGGACCCACTGATAGAGTGGCCTTCTCCATCACTTCCCCGGCTCTCCTCAGGTAAGTCAGCTTTCATCCAAGACCAGGGTTGGTTCCTCTTCTTGTCTTCTCTCAGTGCCTTCTCTATCTTCACCTTGCTCTCCTTTTCTCTGGGCCAACCCTCGACACTCCCTTGGCATCCCTTTAAATTCCCTTTCTCCCCCACGGTGTCCCTCATTGCAGTGTCTGATTTGCTGTGTTCTAGACACAGCTGTTGTCCTTTTTCTTTTTCAGCGCAGTTTTTCTCTTTTCTGTCTGCACACCATTTTTCTCCATCCTGCCTCGAACTCCATGAGCTGGGCTTGCCACAGCAGCTTTTGAATTGCCGTGGCCCCAGCTGGTTCCTTTAATTAGTCAGAGCATGGCGTCTTTCCCTCCACGGCTCAGGGTGGTTTCTTCAGCATCCTCCAGTAAGTTTCATTTCTTTACTTTACTATGGCAGGGCGTCTTGGCCACCCTGTCACAATCAGTAAAAATGAATGACTTCAAAAACAAAATCAGGGAATTTATCAGTGAAAATCAGTACAAACTGAGAATGCGGAACACTAGGTATAACATCATTCTTTCTTATGCTTATCGTATTCTCACTTTCCCTCTCTTTCTGCCTGTGTAGTAGGCTGGCTGGCAGAAGCCTGCTGCAGTCTGCACATGCCTGGCTGTAGGATCCTGCAGGTGGGCAGGGACTACAGCCCAGCTGTGAGCAGGAAAGCCTGATTGCAGGCTGTCTTGGAGGACTGAGCAGCTGACACAGATTAGTGGCTGGACACAGGAAGCCAAAGGCTCCTAGGGAAGGGAGTTTGGGTCAGGCAGAGAGAGTGTGAGGGTACTTGGCTGGTGGCTGCAACACTGGGCCAAGGACTCTCCTAGGGTCTGGCAAAAGATCCAGGGCTGCAGGACTGGAGGAAGCAGCCCGGAGACCACAACAGGAAACTCACATGAAAGAAGGAAGACTGCACTGCTGTGCTAAGGGAGCAGCACGAAGCCAACAGCAGCTTCTCAGGGGCTGGGAAGAGACCCCAGGACTGTGAGTTGCCCTTTTATGAACTGTGCTTATGGACTATTTGCACTAAGCAAGAACCCCAAACCCACTACACTCTGGCTCAATAGATATTGATTATTCCATGTCTATCTTTAAAAGAAAAGAATGAGGCTAACACATCCAAGAGTGCCCTATAACTTGTGCGAGTGTTCTCCAAGGAGGTAGAAGATGTGGATTCAAGTCAGTTGGTGTCGGTTATATCTTGTGTGTCCATTTCTGCCTTGCTGGAGTTTGGCTGGTCCCTTGCAATGGAAGTTTAATGCGGACAAATTAAAGTTTAGTGTGGACAAATGCAAGGTGCTGCACCTCGGAAGGAATAATCCAAACCACAAACATACAGTGAGTGACACGGGACTGAGTGGCAGTTTTATAGAAAAGGACTTGGGAGTCTTGGTAGATCACAGGCTCAGCATAAGTCTGCAGTGTGATGCAGCTGCACAAAAGGCAAATGCAGTTTTGAGATGCATCTATAGAAGCATTAGGTGCAAGATACAGGAGGTGATAATGCCACTCTATTCGGCACTGGTTAGGCCTCATCTGAAGTATTGTATACAGTTCTGGGCTCCACATTTAAAAAAAACATGTGGAGAAGTTAGAGGGTCCAGAGGCAGGCAACAAAGATGATCAAGGGCTTGGAAAGCAAGTCATATGAGGAGAGGCTGAAGGAGCTAGGCATGTTCAGCATGTGGAAAAGGTGCTCAAATACTTGAAAGGCTGTCATAAAGAAGAGGGAAACCACCTTTTCTCTCTCACTGCAGAGAGGAGGACACAGACCAATGGCCTGAAGTTGCAGCAAAGTAAGTTTAGATGGGATATCTGGAAAAATGTCCTCACTGTTAGAATAGCGAGGTAGTAGAATAGACTACCTAGGGTAGTCATGGACTCTCCATCACTGAAAGTGTTCAAGAAGAGGATGGACAGCCACTCCTCAGGGATTATCTAGACATAGCTGTGCCTATGGAAATACCATGGGTATTTCCAGTACTCTTGAGCTTTGCTGGTTACGCCTGCTGACCCATCTTCCCTTCCCCCTCCCTGCCCCCAGTTACATGTGTCAGGTTGTTTTTAAGTCTTCTCAGAGGCATTGGGTGTTGGCTGCAGCCAAAGCTGGGGACTTTGACTAGAGTGTGTCAATGCTCCTGCTGGGAGCAGAGCTGGAGATTCCTGAATAGAGGGTCTTGCCCCTCCACAAAGAATCAGACTGATCACCATATTTGGGGTCAGAAAATTATTTTATCTCATGGTCCCATGGGTTCAGACTGTGGGGGTTTTTGCCTTCCTCTGTAGTGGGGGACATGGTCCTCTACTTGGATCTCTTGATCATATATTGGCAACATTTTATGGAAGCAGGACATTGGCCACCATGGTTCCCCTGCTTTACCTGTGGCAGGTTAGGGGTAAGGTCTGTGTTGTGTTATGTTTGGCATTAGCCTTATATAGCATTTAGATTATGGTTTGTATGGGATGGTTTGGGTAGGGGTGATGCCTCCATGACCTCTGCAGGACTGCTCTGTGACTCTGTGACTCCATTTGGTGCTGGCTTGAAACTGCAGACTAGGACATGAATGTAATTAGACTGGAACCATAAATCAACCATGACATAACTGATAATCCTCTTCTCACCCTTACATGGGTGATGTGTAAATAAGGGAATACTGCCACATACTTGAACTCACTCATTAACCACTTACGGAAGTCCACAATTTGTGCTTTTAATACTTTATATTCTTTCCCAGGGTTCATGTGAAGAGAGAAAGAGAGAGAATGAAAACACAAAGTGATCACTCAAGCGCCACGTGATGTACTTCGAACACCAAGATGGAATTGTACCCTTGTAAATTGCTATGGCTCATTCATCACCTTCTGCTCCTTGAATCCTTCACCAGCTGCTCAACTGTAGACTAAACAAGCCACATGGAGCAGGAAAAGAAGTTTGCTAAAGGGCAGCTGCTGCAGCATTTTGAAGGCAGAGAACAAAAGTATTGGATACCATAAGAACCGGTATGCTCTAACGAACCCCTAATTAGGGATAACATGGTGGTGTTTCAAAAATTGTCTGCTGTGCCATCAGCAGGAATGGCCGTGCCATTTTAATGAGAGACTGGATAAGGTTAAACCAGGGAGGTATGACAATGGGGGAAAGTAAAACGAGTGGAAAAGAGAAGACGCAGGCAGTGGGGGTTTTAACAACTAGGTAAAGTTCTGAGCTCGGGGCCTGGACCTACAGCAAATTTACACTAGTGTAATCAGGCTTTAAGCTGAAGCAGCAAAGGAGGAGCGCATATGAAGCTCTATGCTGTTATAAATTACTGGTACACCATGTAGAACAAGCCCAGGAAAAAAACAGGGGTAGAACTACATGGGTGTAACACCGCTGCAGGGCATCCACAGCTTGTACTGGGCAAGTAGGCCATTATTTGCTTCCCTGGCACCTAGAGGTCTTGCAATTGCATTTGCTTCCTGAAGCTGATAATAGGAAGAACCACACCAACCACCACACCTTGGGATACCCAGTCACATCAGGGGTCAAATCAAAACTGCCCCGGCACATGCATACACCGCCTACGTTTCTATCTGTTTGATTAGGGGATGGGCTTTATGCCCGCCTTCTCCCTCCTGTGGGTGATGCATGTAGGCAAGAAGAGTTTACTATGACCACCAGGTTATGAGGGCACTCTTTGAGCTTGAGTACTAGGAACCCATTTCTGGGGCACTGAAGGTCTTTAGTTCAATCCCTACTGAAGATCCATGAAGGATGCCATCATTACAAACATGCAATGCTAGAGGGATGTGCTATCAAGGATCCAGAGGCGCCTGTTAGTTTAAGAAAATCCACAGCAGGTATGTCCACAGGTGGGTGAAGGCAGCTGAACCTGGGCTAGCCGCAGGAGAGGAGGTAGACAGGGACCTATAGGTTGGAAGTGTTTCCTGCATGGCTAGCTACCTAGCAATAGGACAGTAGCCTTGGGAAAGCAGCAAGGGAACAACTGCAGCTTAGCTGGAGAAGCAGCAATAGGTGATCTTGAAGCTGAGACAACATACCTGGGGCCAGTCGGGAGTTCACCAAACCAAAAAAGGAGGAGTTCAGGGGATATAATCCTGAGTTCCTGAGGCAGAAGGGCCAGTGCAGCCCTGAACTTTGCAAGAAAAGCTCTGGGCAGCGCAGGCTGGCAAGGAACAAACACTGCAGGCGAGGTCAGGCACTCCCTGGGGTAAGAAACCCAGTGAGTGGGGACTTCAGCAGCTGTCTGGTGACCCAGAGGGCAGCTTTGAGGGTCTTGGCTTGAAGCAGTTGCTTGTATTTCTGTTTTAGATTTAAAACTGGAGGGTGGGGTGATGTCTGTATGGGTGGTAAGAATGAGGGGCATGCCAAGTTGTGAGCCCTGCCAGGGGCAGGGGTGTGAGAGTGAAGGAGATGGGGCAGGCTGCAACTGGAAGGGCCCGAGCCTGAGCCCCAACACAGAACAGGCTGAGAAGCCTGGCCAGAGTAAGTGGACCTATGCTAGAGGCCTACAGCCAGAATAACTGGTGGGCTAAGGCCAAGAGGGCTGAATCCCATAGGAAGGCAGATGATAACAGAGTGACACCTGCAAGGTATAGGGATGGCTATGCAGGAGGCTGGATACCATGATAAAGAGACCCAAGGTGTAATCAGGACCAGTAGGGCCACAGGGGGTGACCACTGGCCCACTGTAGTGTCAGCCAGGCACAGGTAGGTCCACCTGGCCGTGAGAGACACCTGTGGAGAGCTGTGAAGTTTTGGTGAGTGGGCAGAGGGCCCAGAGACCAGGAGAGTTTGGTGAAATTGGTTAGACACTGGTGAAAACCCTCCCAAATGATATCTGAAGAACATCCAGATGTGACAGGTGAGATAGGAAGAGAGGTATATGGAGGACCCAGAGCAGCGGTCCCTCTAAGCTGTGCAGCTTGTGCGGCTATGCAGGTGCCACGCTGCCCGGCACTCCTGTGCAGCCGTGCACGCCACACAGCTTAGAGGGAGCACTGACCTGGAGTAAGGGCAGGATTAGTGTGGTCCCCAGGGGAGCTTCATGGATGCCCTTGGGGCCCATCCTGTCACAGATGCAGAGCCAGGGAGCAGCTATGGTACGTGGCATGTTCTTCTCAACAACCACCGATGCCTAAAGCTCTCTCGTTGCACCCGCTGTGGCTCCTGACTCCAAGTAGCTGTGCTACAGCCAGCAACAGCAACACCAGTCACTGTGCTCAGAGTGCACCAGTGTCAAAGAAACACAGACATTAAACCTGAGATGGTTTAGGTCTCCTGTCTATTTTCCCAGGGGTGTGGACCCAACTCACGTTTTGGAGGCTCTGCCCATTCTGCAGAGAACTGGCCCCATGTCTTCCAAGGGAGGGAGAAGCAGTGTTGTCTCTTGTACAAAGCCGTGTCTTGTGTTCTCCCTTTTTGTCACGTTTCAGCAGGGAGAGGAAGCAATAGGTCTAAGTCACACAATATGCTCTGTCCCTTTTCTTTTATCACCCACAGGCAGGATTTGGTGTGCTGGCATTCACACCCTCAGATCATCCATAGCATGTAATGGAGCGATGTGCCCTTAGCAGAACTTGGCCCCCAGATCTTACTATGGCAATGAATCATTCTTGGTTGTTAAACCCAACTCATAGTTGCACCTCCACATGGCCAGAAGCCATGCTGGCAACTCAGCCAAGGAATTGCCTACGAAGAAAGGATGCTCCAGTGGACTGGTGATCCAGGGGCTCATGTCTGCTGCAGATTTGCCCTCCAGCAAATCACTTACCTTCTCAGCATGCTAAGCTGCCATGCTCAGCCTCAGTCTCCCACATCCTCACTGAGTGCTCTCACCACCAGCCCATCAGCTCTTCTGGGATAGGTTTCTCCAATTATGAACAGATATCCCATGCTGATAAACTTTTCTGGATGAAGGTTTCATCCAAATTTGTACATTCCTGTGATTCCAGGAATCAGCATTTTCCGGTAGAAGGATGTTCTACCGGAAAATGTTACAACCGGCTCTAATCCTTTTCAGCCTGGGAAAGGACAGCACAATTTCCTCTGATTTTAACTTGGTCCTAAACAGCACCTGCTGTGTGAGATATTTCTCTTGTCTCTCCCCCCTTCACATGTCTTTTTCATTCACCACCTTATTTCATCTCCTTCTTTATCTGCCTCCTTTCACCTGTTGTTTTTTCAGAGTATGACTTAGCCAGCCAGGACTCTTCCTTTCACCATACCACAGTGAATCTGTGAAGTTAAAATGGGGCCCTAAAGAGCTTGAAGTTGGTTTGAACTTACCTGGTCTTAGCATGTGTGCTAAGACCATTTGCTGGACCTGTGTTTTCCCCTACAGCAAAAGTCAGAGCCAGAAGCTGCATTTTCCCCACTTTTCCCCCTCCTTTTGTGTATGTTCATCTTCAGGAAAACAGAGTTGGACTTTTACAGCTGCAGCAACCACTGTGGTCTCAGCCCATTTCAACCAACTTCTGCTTTTTGCTCGGAAGAGATTATCAATCCCAACTTTGATACCACCCAACAAACTGTCAAACAAGGGGTTCCTTTTAAACACTCTCTATCTAGAGAGGAAAGGAATAAGACATGTTGTTAAAATGAAGGCCTTACCCAGTAGCAAACGTTTCCAATGATTTAACCATTTTTTCTTTCTTCTTCTGTATCTTTAATAAAAGAAGATTAAAAGTTGTAATAGTGGTGATTGCCACGGGAATGCAAAGGTTGAGGTCTCCAGTCTCAAAATCCCAATCCTTGTTTAAATGTTTAGTGCTGTTCACAAAGAAGCCTGCTGCTGTGCCTCTTTGACTCTCCAGGTTTATTAATCCCATTAGCAAAACAGGCCCCCAGAAGCTCAAGTTGTCAGGGCCCTTTATGCATCTTGGATAGGGAGTTTAGCTGTGTTTGCATATATACCATGAAGCAGGGCCTTGTAGAGAGCTAGCTCTGATATTGAGGTTATATTGCTACTGTTGGCATACTGCTTCGCAGGGCCTAGGCAGAGCAGTGCGTTAATGAGGCTGGACCGCTCCTGATTCCTGAGAGAGCCGACCAAAAGCTAGCCCGCCGAGCTCTGCACAGCAGGGCGCTGTGCCATGCAGACATGGCACTAGTGCCATCGCTTCCATTGCTGCAGAGCAATTGGGGATCCCCACAGTAGGATGGGTTTTTGGTTTCCAGTGCCAGCCCCACCTGGGCCTGGGCCCACGAACGACTTGCCATCTTCACAAAGAAATCCATGAGCACTATGCGACTCTAGCAGCTGATTCAAAGCAGTGTATCCTGCCTTCATTTTTCCAGGCATGAGCTCAGAAATCCCTTTGGAGCCGTCGACTTGCCTGCAAACTTTGGCTCCTCAGAATGGATGAAACTCAATCGTGTGCAAGGAGCCAGCCCAAAGCCTGAGGGACCCCAAGTGCTGCCTGAACTTCTCTAGCTTAGCTGGAATTAAACAGATACTTTGCATTGGCCCCTACATATAAAGGGCGGGTTTTGCCCATCATGAGGATCCACAGTCATTCACAGAAGAGTCACTGCAGTTATTGCAAATAGTGAGGAAATGCAAGAATATTCGTGGTTTGTTTGCAGTCAGAAGGGGGGAAAAAATGGGTCAAATTCATCAGACCAGCACATCGCTGCCAATTCCTCGCTCAGCTCAGGGTTGAGGCCATTTTTAATCCCCCAGCCGCCTTATTCATAACCTCAGACACAGCTGGAAACTGTCCATTGTTGTGGTGGTCTCTGTGGATCTAAACTCTTTCTGTGGCAATAAAACCTAGCGTCCGTGAACGTCTTGCAGTCACTCTGATACTTGCCTGTACAGCGTGCTGCACCATGTGGAAAGCTGGGCTTTAGCAGCCTATGAAAAGCAAGGCTGAGCTCACTCACTTTATATCATATGACAAAGGAACCTTTGTTTAAGCCAGTAACAGTGGAGTGAAGAAGTTTGGTCTGTTCAGAGATTAGGGATTGTCTGTAGGACTAATAGGAATTTATTACT